AGGCTCTTTGCAATAAAAGTCATAACATTGGGTAGAAATATGCTTCTGGGTTGCTCAGTATGGTTGCGTGCATGTAACAAAGTTTACCAACTCTAAGTGTTGGAGAACAGACAAGCGGACTACACCAAGAGTCTCCCAAGCTACAGCAGCCTAGACTGCAATGGTTGAGAAGAATGAAGCAGAATAAAATAGTGGAGGAATCAGGGACCTTCAGATAAGCCTTCTATTCACTGGGATGCCTTCTGCTGCAAGTAAAAGAAAACTTGTAAGTGAAGACTGACTGGCTTAATTACAAGGTTATTCATTGTTTTCTTAACAGCCTGAATGTAGGCATTTCTAGGGATGGTTCAGCTGCTTACTGACCTCATCATGGCCTTGGGCTCTCTATCCCTCTTTTTTACCTCCACTGTCTTTTTGTCCTTTGGTTTGCTGCCTCATGATCTCAGGATGGTTGCCACAGTTGCAGCATTGTGTCCAAATTCAAAAGCAGGAAGTAAAAGGTTTTCTTCTTAAGATGCCTTTTAATTTAAGTGTTGAGAAGCTTCTCAGGAAACATCCCTTTATATCCCATTGACCAGAACTGGGGCACATAGCTGTGGATCACTTCTAGGAAGGTTGGGAAAGCAAGGTTTTCAGCTTGTAGGGAGGGAAATACACGTTGGGAATGACTTTTGGATAGACAGCCTCAGTGAATGCCTCAGGTTCTATAAAGCATGATGCTATAGAAGGAAGAATAAGCAATTCTGAGTCAGAAGCCGCCAGTTTGTTATGTGAACTTGCCCCTGTCACCTAGCCTCTCTGAACCTACAGCCTTACCTCCGGGGTGAGGAGCTGGGTTCACTAGATGGTCTCACACCCCTAATTTTATTAAAACTCCTTGAGGGTGTTGAATGTGCTGACCAGTGGTAATGTAATTAATTTAATGAGATCCATTTGGCAAAAGCAGCTGTGGCTCTTCTCCTTCCTGTGGGCAGGGGACATTTGTGGGCTGGATAAATTCTCATGCTCACATATTTTGATGGACATTTCATTACACCAACAGCTTGGTGTCCTGGGGCTCTGAATATCTGCTCCCAATAAGAATGTCAGACCCCGTGTACATGCTAAGCCAAAGGGACTTTTCTTGGTGCTCACTCACCTCTGCCCCGCCCAGTTCAGGTGAGCCCCAGGCAGGACAAACTGTGGGGCTGAGGTCGGCTCCCTGAAGTCTCCCTCATCTTTCCCTCCCACCTGGCATTCATTTTGCTCTCGTGGTTAGGTTTACCCAACTCCGGCCTAGATGTGGGCTTTGTCTAAATCCTTCCCAAAGCCCTTTGCCTTATGGAACTACTCAGCTTCCTCCCTTTTCTCAAAGCACTGCTCACAGGGGGCCGTGGTGACGAGCTGCCTTGCCGAAGTGTGAGTGAATGCTGAGGTGCTAAGGCTGCCTTACATCCGGCTCAGGTGTGGATGTTCGAAGGAAGGCAGCAGAGTCAAGGTTCTCGTCAGTCCCAAGTAACAGAGTCCACTCAAGGGAGATGCACATAAGCAGGTGTTACTCTAAAGCCATGGGATATCTGATGGGAGCCAGTGGAAGGAGCGACAGTCAAGTCCCTGCAAGAGACTGAAACAGGGAGCTGACTGACACTAGGCAGGTGCTTGCTCTTTCTCTCTCAAGGACACATGGTAAACTTGGTCACCCGCAGTTCTGCAACTGACTTGTCCTCACTTCAAGCAGCAGCAGACTGATAAGCATTTCTGCATCTTAAATCTAAATTCCCAGGAGAGACTATGATGGGCTCATCCTGGGTCAGTTGTGTGAACTGCTCCAGCCACTATGGTGGGGGTAGGCAGGGCAAGGGAGGAAGGTCACATTGTGCAAACCTGGAAGCAGGAGCTTCCCCTTGGTGGGGGAGAAGAATTCTTAGAGAAGGGAGGGTGTGGGCTGGGCAAATGCTCGAAAGGTTTTGTCTTGGTGTTGATCTTCATGTTTAGTGGGGAAGTGGATTTTCCACATCGTTTCATGTAAAAAACCTCAGAGAACATTGAAAGTATTGTTAGGTTCAAATTCTGGATCCACCATTTACTCTTGGTATCATCTTGTTTGTTTATCAAATATATATAGCATTTTCTACATGTCAAACACTGTATTGGTTTAAGTGCTTTACATATTTGAACTTATTTAATCCTCAAAATGATTCTGTATATAGGTATTTATTATTATCCCCATTTAAAGCTGAGAAACCTGAGGTATGGGAAGGTTCAGTAACTGTCCCCAAGTCACACAGCTAGTAAGTGGTAGGGCTGGAATTCCAGCCCTGGCTGTCTGGCTCTTACTATCCCTGCTCTGAGCTCCTATTTTGTGCTGACCTTGGATAAGTTATTTAACTTTGCTGTGCCTCAGTTTCCTCATTTGTATAATGGGTTTAATTCTGCCTCCTGAGTTGTGAGGATTAAAATGGGATGGCACATACAAAGCCCTTCCCCTCTGTATTAGGGGCAGTGTTCTCCAGAAAAACAGACCCAAGTTGTGTGTGTTTATATAAAGAGAGAGATTTATTTTAAAGAATTGGCTCACACAATTATGGAGGCTGGCAAGCCTGAAATCTGCATGGTGGGCCAGCAGGCTGGAGACCCAGAGAAGAGCTGATACTGCAGCTGAAGTCTGAAGACTGTCTGCTGGCAGAATTCCTTCTTGTTTGGGGAAGGTCCATCTTTTGTTCTATTCAGGCCTTCAGCTCTTTGGTTATGAGGCCTGTTTTATTATGGAAGGCAATCTGCTTTACTCAAAGCCCACTTATTTAAACACTAATCTCACCTGAAAACATTCTCACAGAAACATCTAGATAATGTTTGACCAAGTATCTGGCCCCTTGGACCAATCAAGTTGGAACCTAAAATTAACCATACCTTGTAATCATCCCTGGTAGGGGTATGAGGAGTTTGATCTTTTCCTTCCTTCTCAACTCCAGAGTCCCCAGGGAATCATATTCTGAGGGTTGGAGCTGATCATGGCTCAGCCTGTTGACATCCTCAGTTCTCCATCTTGCCTCTTGCTTCATGCGGCCACCCATCATACAGCCACCCATCAATCAGCTGCACACCCAGAGAGCTCCCTCAGCCATAGAACCCTGAGGGCCTCAGCCTGGGACTCCGGCACAGCTCTGGGGTAGCTGGAAATGACTGCTTCCTGAAGCAATCCATCATACATGTGGCACAATTTCCCCAATGATAGTAACCACTCTGCCAGAATGAGCGGTGAGCTAGCTTGCAGATCTGTCAACTAGCCTGGCTTTCATAAGCAGACTGTGATTTAATAAGAAAAAGCCTTGATCAGAAGGTTTGGAGTTAAGAGAAGGGAGGGTGTGGGCTGGGCAAATGCTCGAAAGGTTTTGTCTTGGTGTTGATCTTCATGTTTAGTGGGGAAGTGGATTTTCCACATCGTTTCATGTAAAAAACCTCAGAGAACATTGAAAGTATTGTTAGGTTCAAATTCTGGATCCACCATTTACTCTTGGTATCATCTTGTTTGTTTATCAAATATATATAGCATTTTCTACATGTCAAACACTGTATTGGTTTAAGTGCTTTACATATTTGAACTTATTTAATCCTCAAAATGATTCTGTATATAGGTATTTATTATTATCCCCATTTAAAGCTGAGAAACCTGAGGTATGGGAAGGTTCAGTAACTGTCCCCAAGTCACACAGCTAGTAAGTGGTAGGGCTGGAATTCCAGCCCTGGCTGTCTGGCTCTTACTATCCCTGCTCTGAGCTCCTATTTTGTGCTGACCTTGGATAAGTTATTTAACTTTGCTGTGCCTCAGTTTCCTCATTTGTATAATGGGTTTAATTCTGCCTCCTGAGTTGTGAGGATTAAAATGGGATGGCACATACAAAGCCCTTCCCCTCTGTATTAGGGGCAGTGTTCTCCAGAAAAACAGACCCAAGTTGTGTGTGTTTATATAAAGAGAGAGATTTATTTTAAAGAATTGGCTCACACAATTATGGAGGCTGGCAAGCCTGAAATCTGCATGGTGGGCCAGCAGGCTGGAGACCCAGAGAAGAGCTGATACTGCAGCTGAAGTCTGAAGACTGTCTGCTGGCAGAATTCCTTCTTGTTTGGGGAAGGTCCATCTTTTGTTCTATTCAGGCCTTCAGCTCTTTGGTTATGAGGCCTGTTTTATTATGGAAGGCAATCTGCTTTACTCAAAGCCCACTTATTTAAACACTAATCTCACCTGAAAACATTCTCACAGAAACATCTAGATAATGTTTGACCAAGTATCTGGCCCCTTGGACCAATCAAGTTGGAACCTAAAATTAACCATACCTTGTAATCATCCCTGGTAGGGGTATGAGGAGTTTGATCTTTTCCTTCCTTCTCAACTCCAGAGTCCCCAGGGAATCATATTCTGAGGGTTGGAGCTGATCATGGCTCAGCCTGTTGACATCCTCAGTTCTCCATCTTGCCTCTTGCTTCATGCGGCCACCCATCATACAGCCACCCATCAATCAGCTGCACACCCAGAGAGCTCCCTCAGCCATAGAACCCTGAGGGCCTCAGCCTGGGACTCCGGCACAGCTCTGGGGTAGCTGGAAATGACTGCTTCCTGAAGCAATCCATCATACATGTGGCACAATTTCCCCAATGATAGTAACCACTCTGCCAGAATGAGCGGTGAGCTAGCTTGCAGATCTGTCAACTAGCCTGGCTTTCATAAGCAGACTGTGATTTAATAAGAAAAAGCCTTGATCAGAAGGTTTGGAGTTAGCTCCAAGCTATGGTTTGCAGTCTACAATGTGGACACCAGGCCTGACCCAGGTCATTCTGGAATCACTCCCCTGGTCACCAGTCTGTGTAGACTGCTCTCTCCCCTCTCCTCTAACTGCAACCTCTCGGAACGCTGGCTTTCAGGGGTGTGGAGAGAAGCCATCCAGGTTCCAGTGAATCACTCACTGCCTAAGACAGGATCAGATAATAATGTGAATGAATGAGTGAATACTTAAAAATAAATGAACTGTGTTCCAATAAAACTTTATTTGGTCCATCCTGATCAAGTTTAATAATGTTTAATAGATCTTTTTAAAACATGAGTAGTAATAACAATTCCTCTGTCATAACAGTTACATATGAACTCCCAGTCAAGGTCAGCAGCTTGTTCCTTTATCAAAAAAGTAAAGCCGCCCCTGAGGACAAATGGCACATGAGGAGCGGTGTACATTTTCTTTTCTTAAAAAAACAAGAACAAAAACCCAAACACTTCATATTTATATATTTTATATTTAAAAATTGATCAGTGTGATTAATTCTGCTTTTAAATATAAGTTTCTAACATGTTGCAGTTTTCAATGTACAAATCCTAGTTAGCTGATTAGATTTAAGGTGCTGTTGAGGTGAGGGTGAACACAGCCCGAGACCAACACTGTGGATCCTCTGCTCACAGACTGGCTGGGCTTCCTGTGGGTATCTTTGGGGGTTTTGCGGGGAGCTGAACACCAGTCATGGAAATAGCAGAGCATTCCAGAGCATTCAGGGACCGGACTATGCTTCTGCAGAGGGCCTGCTGGGCCTCCATACCATCACACCAGGCTCGGTGTGTGCGTAAACCTCTGGGTTTGCATACTCCAAACGCATCCTGGCCTAAGCTGGGAGGGGCATGGTAGCTTTGTTGTGGGGTCCCCATGCTGGTGCCTGTTGGCACCCCACCTTTCACACCCCTTCCTACCTTTCTGGATTTCTTGCCCCCAAGGCCACTTGCTCTCCAGTGCATTTCTTTATATTATAGGGCCTGCTCTATGCCAGGGCTAAATGGATGATCAGAATCAAGGGCGGTATTAATGAAGCATGATAGGTCCTGTGTGAAATCTTCTCTCCTAGCACATTGCTCTAGGGTGACACCTTTTGCTTTCCTCTAAAAGAACGATTTATGCTGAGAACATTAGTTCCTGCAGTGGGCTGGGAGGGGAGTTCCGTGTATGTGGATGGTAGGAGGGGGAGGCAGGCTGGAGGAATTTGTAGAATTGCTGTCTTCAGGCTCACCTGGGTACAACGTCCCCTCGGGAATGAGGGCTGTGTCTTTGTGTCTGTGAGTGTGTTGGGAAAGTGCATTGGGAACCTGCAGGAGGTGTGTGCATAAGCCTGGGAGAATGAGCTTCTATCCTAGACCCCAAAATGGTCTGATCTGAAACAAAGATTTCAGACCACACGGGTTGAGGCAAATACAGGCATGTGGCAGATAGGGGAACAGTTAAGTAGCTGAGGAGCCAGAGAAAATATGCTTGGTGGCGAGGGTAAAATGGACTCAGTTTCCAATTTCAGAATACAAGGAACATTGCTCTGAATAAAAGGTCACATAGATCAGATGGCAATAAACAGGGAAGAATCATCTTGGACCAAGTTTTCTGACTGAAAAGCCACAGTGACCCTAGCAGAGGAAGACGCTGTAGTGACAGACACTGGCCTAGGGGATTCAAGGCTTGCCCTGACACCGAGGCCCTGATCTTCAGCACTTTGCTTCTCTGGGCCTCCCACGGGTCCCTTGAGGCTAGCTAGGCCAGAAGCTTTCAACACTATGCCTGTAAGATTCCTCTGCACCAGGCCATCCAGGTCGGGTCTGCAGACTGCTAAGACATTTCTTCCCTGCACACTACTACTTACAAAATGCAAGGGCCCCTTCACTGGGAAAGTGATCAACCCCCAAACTAGGCTCCTGTTCAAACCCTCTCGCAGAGGTTAAAGGCTAGTTATTAAGGCAGTTTAAGAAATAGACATTCCTCTTCCTCCTCGGATCCTTCCTGTGTTCCGCTAACCCCAAGGCAGCAGAAAGGGGCGGAAGGGCGATAGAGATGTTGGGGGTGTCCCCCTCCCTGGCAGGCTCGGCTTTCCTGGGTGGCCTCTCCTTTGCTCTGGGGCCTGAAGCTCCCTACGGTACCCTCACCACCTTTCTTTGGAGAAGGCCTCCGTCTGCACGAGATCGCCAGGGTGCTCGGAGATGCACGCGCCATTGAGGTCGCCCAGTTTATTGTCTTGCAGGTCCTCAGGCTTGGTGCAGAGCTTCAGGGCGCGGGAGATGAACACATCCAGGTCGAACTGGGGGCTGGCACCCCCATCGACGGGCGCGGGGAGGTGGGGTGGAGAGGCAGACAGGTGGCACTCGGGACCATCGTTGGGTGGGCTGGCGTGTTCGGGACCGCCCTGTGTGCTCTTGACCCACTGCGCGATCTCCAGGAAGAGGCTGGCCGGCTCGTCCTCGTGCGCCCCGGCATCCGCGGCGGCCACCGCGGCAGCCGGGGGCGCACCGGCCGCCTGCTTCCAGTGCGACAGGTCCAGGATGAGCTTGGGCTCGGAGTAGTGGTGCGGCTTGCTGTCGCGCCACAACAGCTTGTCTAGGTAGGACGGCGACCCCACCTTGTAGTCGCAGGAGCGCCCGCAGTCGGCCTCGAAGGCGCGCTCCATGGACGAGTACGAGTGCTCCAGAAAGCGCTCTGAGCTGCTCTGTGAGTCCTTGCGAGGGTCCACCTGCACGTCCTCCGCCAGCGGCGCAGAGCCCGCGCGCGGATCACGCTGTACCTCGCTCGCGTCCTGGCATCGGTCGGGCCGCCACTCCAAGTCCGACGACAAGCTCACAGGGTACCTGCATGGGTACGGAGGGAATGGCGATCAGATCCCGGACTGGGTGGCTTCGCCTAATGCCTTCCTCCCCACCCACAGGCTGCCTCTCCATTCCTTTCCAGCCCTTCCAATTCTAAGCCTAAGATAGCGGTGAGCCTCGAGGGCTCACGTAGAGGGGCTGACTGGCTTAACTCTTGCATTCTTTTGTATTCATTCAATACGCTACGGAGGTTTGCTGAGCACCTAGTGTGTGCCAAGCATGTTCCAGGCATTACCAGACATAGCAGTGAAGAAAACCAAATCCCTGTTTTTATGAAACTTTCGAGCGGGTCCACAGTGCTCCTCAAACTTTGATGTGGACACAAGTCACCTAGGGACCTTGTGAAACTGAGGATCTCGATTGAGGAGATGGAAGGTGGGGTCTGAGATAATGCAGTTCTACCAGACTCCCAGGTGATGCTGATTCTGCTAGTCCAAGGACCACACTTTGAGTAGCAGGGCCCTATGGAGTGCTTCTCAGCCCTGGCTCAGACTAGAATCACCTGGGGGAATTAAAAATAAAATTCCATGCCTAGCCCACAGCCCCCAATTCTGTCTGAGTCAGCAGGTATAGGATAGATCCCTGCATCAACACAGTTTTAAAACTTCCACAGATGATTCTAACGTAAGCCAGGGCTAAGAATTCCTGATCTAGGGATCTGGTTGGTAGCCACGGGCACCTGGCATAGATGCAGCACAGGTGGGGCCTGTGGGAAGATTACAGACACCCTCAGGAGAAGGCAAACATCCTTGGAATTCTGCCCTCTGTCCACTACCCTGTAGCCATGGAGGGCCATGTCAGCCAGCCAAGAGCTGATGAAGGGCAGGCAGACAGGCCATCAACTTGGGTTGAGCCCGCTCCTCCCTGTGCCAGGAGCTCTGTACAGAACCATGGGGAGCCAGCTGGTCATGGAATGATGGGAAGCCCAGTGCTCACACAGGACAATCCAGCCCAGCAAGGACAGGCAGATTTGGCTGTGTGCAGGGGCAGACGCACAGTGGCAGTCTGCATGATGTGGTGTGTGAGGTGCAGGAGGGTCCCAGGATGGCTCACCCTCCTGGTGATGCCATGAGGGTCCAGAGTCACCCCCAGGGGTGAATACTCCCTCCTCCTAAGGGGGTCCTCGAAATGGCAGATATTTCTAGGAGGAAGAGCTTGTGAAGACCCTAGCTAGCCCTTGGCTGCTACACACCAAAAGCCAAACACAGGTTATCTGGAGTCTTCCTAGCAGCTCTGTGGAGTATTATCACCCTACCTTATAGATGAGGACAGGAGCGTTCAGAGGTTAAGCAGTTTGCCCAAAGGAGCAGGGCCTATGGGAAGAGGTTTGTCATCACCTTTGCTGGCCTCCTCCTTCACATAGGAGTGATGGGAAAGGTCTGGAGCTTAAATGCACCAGGTTTAGAGGTGGCCGGAGTTGATGGGCAGTGGTCAAATAAACCTGCTACAGGTTTTCCTGTCATGGCCACAATCAGCATAGGATGAACCTTGCTGAGCCAGCACTCTGTTGTTCAGGGGCCACAGTCAAGGGCAGGCCTAGCAGGGGGTGGCAGAAGAGAGAGTTGTCATTAATCTCTATTTGCTGGCAACTCTTGATAACAACAACTGACAATAACACACTAACAAACCTGTCCAAAAATAGCAATGTTGCCCTGAGCCCCCCTCAGTGCTCTTTAATCTGCAACCCATCATCTGTCAAATGACTGAAAAGGAGAAATTGCTCATCTGTGACTTACGTAACTAGCTGTCACATTCCCACAACAGCGGGGCTCCCACTCAGGCCCCCTCAGAGTCCTAGTTGCCATGCCCTCAATTTCTATTTCTAAACCAAGCAGCCATCAGCTCTCCCTCCCAGGAGCAGCAGATGGTGATGCCCAAACATTTGGCTGCTGATCTAAGAACATCAGAACAGGACATCAGATCATAATATGTCCACACAGAGATTGTGCAAAAATTGTCTTCTACCCAACTCACTGTTAGTGACTTCACAGGCACGCTGTGCTGAGAACGATTCTGAAGCCAAGCCCAGTGTAGCAGGAAAGAGTCCTGTGAATGTTTCACAGTTTCTGACATGGATGCAGACTGGGGAGGGCACCCCCGGGCCAGATATTAGCTATGTGACATGATGCCAATCTCTAACCTCACTGAGCTGGACCATCCTCACGTGTCAGTGAGCAATAAAAATTAACAGCATTCTCAGGTGGTGCAGATGATGGGAACCACACAAACGCATGTGTAGTGGTCAGTTTTGCATTATTTTCTTGCCTGGCACTGCTGGTTGACTTTTCCAGGGCAAATTCCCAGTCTGCCAGGAGTGAGCTCCAACAGTGGGTACTCCTTATATGCTTGCCAAACATTGCAGTGAGCCCTGTGCTCAGTCTACTCGGGATGGGGAGGGAAGCTGGCCTCCCAACCCGCACATGCAAAACACAGTCATCTACCTGCTGTGTATGGGGACAGGGGAGAGAAAGGCAGGAAGCTAAGTCGGGGAAAGTGTCCTACAGGCTATAGAACTTGGGGAAGCGAGGGAAGGGTCATGGTGGATCAGAGGCAAAACAGAAATGGGAGGATGTGAATGTGGGCTTGGGCTCCAGGACTGCACCTGTCCCAGGTGGACAGCTGACTCTGGTTGGCGGCCATCAGCAGGATGTCATCAATCTCATCTTCAATGCGGAAGGGGTGCTGTGAGGTGGGCTCATCCTCAGGGCACGAGTATGGGCTCATGTAGGGGTGCTGCAGCCCCATCTCGGCTGTTAGGCGATCCATGGGGTTAAAGGTCAGGATCTTCTCCAGAAAGTCGATGGCTGTGGGGAGCAAAGCAGGACATGAAGGTCATTTGTTGCCCCCAACCTGCTGAGAATGTGACTCCTCACTATGGTGACATTTGCTGGTGTTTGTGCTTTTCCACTTGTAAAAAGATGTTAGCCATTTTCTTCCCCATGATCCTTCCTACACTCCAGTGACAAATTTAGAGCAATGTTGCTTTTTTGCCTTCACAGATGAATAGAGGCCCTGGGGGATAAAGGGCCTTGCTCAAGGTCACCATCGGTTACAGGTGGTCCAGGGCTAGAACTCTGCTTTATGCTAGATTTCTCCAGAGACAAGGATTGGGGTGTAGGTAGGTTATATGGCAGTGATCCTGGAAGTGCTGGTTGGGGAGCAGGGAAGAAGCCTCTAGAAGACATGCCAATGAGCAGGTTCCTCCTGTGGGCAGCTGGGGCTCCTCTGGGAGACAGTGTGGGACACACCTCACAGCCATTCCACTTGACTGGGGGGACTCGGGGTAACTACATCCACTCCATTTGTCGTGGACTGAGTGCTGCTGAGCGGACGGCAGGTGCCAGCAGTAAAAAGCCTCAGTGGGACGGTCACCGAGGAGGTGAGGTGGCTGGGACAGGGTCTGACAGCCCGGCGCTCCTGTCTGAGTCCAGAGCTCTTTCTACTACACGTTGCCAGTGGAGGTTTGACAAACAAAGTCAAGCAGGCTTGGTATTCAAAATATTTAACCACCAGGCTGAAGCCCTCCTGCTGCTCCAGGCAGTTCCCTTTAATGGCTGGATTAAGGGGAGGTCCTGGGCAGATGCAACCTAGGGCCTCCCAGGAGGACACGGTGATGCTTAGCAGCCTTGCGCGGCGGCTCTTTGCCAATCAGCATGAAAATATATGTCAGGACTGCAGCGGCCAGTTGGGCGCCACGGGCGTGCACTGGCTGAATTAGCCCTGCACACAGGGATTTGCGCCCTTGTTACTGAGCAGGGGCAGGAGCACCCATCTGCTCTGCGAGCTTGGCCTTGGGTTATCTCAGGGCAGGGTCTAGCCTGGAGTTTGTTACTTCTCAGCAATGGAGGCTCACTTAAATCATGACTTGGCTAATCACGTTAGAGCCCACACGGAAGGGACAGAGGTGGCTGAGCTCCAGGCCCAGATTGTCGTCCCCTGGGAAGGCCTCAGCCAACACCACTACCCTGCCCTGCACACCAGCCCTGAATCTCTCTGAGGGGAAACTCATCAGTGATTCAGGAAACTGATGGATTCAGAAGGTCATTGGCCTCCCAGGAGGACATGGTGATGCTCCATGACTCTAGATCAACAGTCAGTGAAGCAGCTGTAATTCTGATTACCACCAAACACCCTGGGGCTCAGGGGGTGCTTCTGGGCCAGGGCTGCAGACCTGAAGAGGACTGGCCGCACAGATTCCCAGGACCGGGCAGAGTCAGGCACTGCAGGGCAGCGCCCAGCTCCAGGCAGGGCAAGCCTTTCCCTCTTTGGGCCTCTGGCCCCCCTCCCAGCCCCTCATACACTGGACCTACTGACAAGGAAATGAGAGAGTGAAAGCTCTAAATGTCAGGAGGCATCATCACCATTATTAGAAAAGACCCAGTGAGCCCTGAATTTGGGAAGTGCCAACCCAGAAGTCCACTCCACTGACTCTAGTAAGGATGAGTCTCCTCCTCTCCCTGAAAGCTGGTCCTCTAGCAGATGCCCAGACATTTGTGTGAAGCCTAAATATTTGAAAACACTTTCTTATGTCAAACCAAAATCTGCCCCTTGGGCTTAAAACCCCTGAGCCTAGCTCCGCCCAGGGTGGTTCCCCCAGAGGGCCTGTTCTCTCTTTCCCATGACTTCTCCTCTCATGTTCCAAGGCAGTGCTGTGTCCCATGCCAGGCCCCTCTCTCCCTGGCACACAGCTGGCCTACATCTCCCAGCAATCCTGCAGTAGATGTAGCTGTGTGATTGAGGCCAGTGGAACAGGGTAGCAGTGATGTGTGTACCCCACTTCCAGGCCTGACCCATAAAAACCTCCTGTGAGGGTCTCTGCTCTCTTCTCCTGGCTCTGCCTGGAAGCTGGTGCCCAGGGGGACCTTGAATGCTACATGTTGAAGATAGCAGACCCCTGACATCCTGGGTCCAGGACAGAGCCCCCAGACCCCCCCACTGTTGGGGCTGGAGGTGAGCCAGGAATCCATTGCTAGCAAGGTAGGCCTGGATATTTGGGGTTTATTGCTACAGCACTGGCTTGACTCCAACTCATAAACCATCATATCCCACCACCCCCAAACTCCTTTTCTTTGGGCTCAACTTCCCCACGTAAAAATTAAGGCATTTCTAATATCATGAGACTTCAGTACAGAATTGTCCCTTCCTGGGCCCAGTGGATTCCAAACTGGACTTCTCAGAGCCCCAGGGGTTCTGGAGGGATTCTCAGGGGCGTCTCTGGAGAAGGAGAGGCAGGTGGGCAGGGCCCTCAACCCTGCCTCACCCAGAGGACTCCTTCTGCCTGTTGTGTACACTGGGCTTGCTCATCAGACTTGTCTCGTGTGCTATACTTACTTCTTGTAGTAAATAGAGCTCAGAACTCAGTGTCCCCAGGTGGTCTCCAGACCTAGACTGTGTCCTTTGAGCCTCTGAGGACTACAGCCAGAGAGAACCCCCCATCTCTTCCCAGGCCTGTGGGGCCTCAAATGTACAGTGGAGGGGGCTCACCATGGCTCTACTGGGCAGGTGGCCTTGATGCCCTTTCCACTGCTGGTATTTCATTTCAGGGATGCCTCATTACCTTAAAGCCACAGGCTGATTGGGGCCACTTCTTGATGGGGAAGGATATGGAGACTGCTAGTCTGTACCCCATGTCTGTTCTCCTCTTTCATATAATGGACACAAAATGGCATGAAATAAATAGCCATTTCATAGCCTCTGCTGCAGTGAGGTGGGCCATGTGACTAAGTTCTGGCTGACAAGACATAGCGGAGGTGAGGTGTACAAATTCTGGCTCGTGACCTTAAGGGCAAGGGGATCTGCCCTCAGTCCCTCCTCCCTGCAGGTGGTCAGGGCAACATTCTAAGATGCAGCACGAGACAGAAGGAGCTTTGCTCCCTAGATGACTTTGTAGAGCAGGTCCACTGTATTGGCTCTGGACTGTCTTACACAAGATTATATGGATTATTATATAAGAGAGAAATAAATTTAACTTCTTTTCTCTCAAATAAGAAACAAAGTTTATTTAATCAATTGAGAATTTTGGTCTCTTTTAAAACTGGCTGAACCTATATCCTACCTAACGCATGGGTTTCTCAGGAAGCCTCTGGCCAGTAGGAGGCCCACTGATAATGTAACATCTAAGATGGTGAAGCAATAATCCTATGCCCAGGGCTTTACAAATTCTATTTGACTTAATGCTCATAACTGCCCTATGTGAGGCATGTTATTATACTCATTTTATAGTCAAAGCAACTGAGATGCAGAGAAGTCAAGAAACTTGTCCAAGGCCAAACAGCTAGATGCTGGTGGAACTGGGCATTGAGTCTGGGCCTGGGTGTCAAGCTGATAAAACTCATCTTCTCTGCATCACACTGTGCCTTCCAAGGGAAGACAAGTGAAGGGGGATGAAGGAAGGGAGGGAGGAAGGCAAGTGAGAAAGAAGGAAAAGGAAGCGAAAGGGGGGAGAATCCGGAGGACCACTAGCTGAGGGCTGCCTGATGGCTGACTCCAGGGGCCAATAATCCTCAAGCTAGAGGTAGCCATGGTGAATGCCCACTATCGCAGGGCCCCTCTTCTGTGTCTAGGGACTGTGCTTGGTCATTTTGGAAGGAGACACCTGCCACTGCCCCCCCCAAGATGAAGCCGAGCATGGCCTCGGGATGCTGGCCTGGCTTTCAGGCTCAGGTACCTTCGCTGTTCACTTCGGGGAGCAGCTTGCGCAGCGGCCTCTTCACCTCCCAGCTGCTGTTGATGAAGGAGGGCATCACCCTGAGCAGCTCGTCCTTGTCCTCCTCCCGGACCACGGGGATGGTCTCCAGGATGAGCTGCATCTGCTCCAGCTCGTGAGCCCCTGGGGAGCCAGATACCAGATGGGTATGAGTGATGCCCGAGTGGCTGGGGTGTGTGAAAGCCCCAGAGTGGCTTCAGGAGACCTGGGAGGGGCAACACAGGCCAGTGGGAGCAGCACTAGGATGGGAGCCAGGGCACCTGTGTTCTGATCTTCACCGTGCCACTAACTTGCTGTGTGACTGTGAGCAGGTTGCTTGCCATCTCTGGGGCTTGGCTTTGTCAAATGTCTCTGCCTCCGGAATGGACCAGTCTGATATAGTGACAGGAAGGGCCTGGCCCAAGGCTCTCTAAGTTCTCTTTCACACATGCCTCTCTGCATGTTCCTTACCAGGCAGGGGAGGAAGTGACTGTAAGGCTAGGACTGGGCCTCACTTTTGGTTTTCAATGTCACAAATTGGGTTTGGAATGTCTCTAGAGCACACTGCCTCTGAGCTCCTGCAGAGGGAGGAAGACAGGCTATGCCAGGTGTGCAGGCAAGTGTGGTGGGGGACAGAACAGAGTCAAGCATTCATTCACGCCTTCATTTAGTCATTCATTCTCTCACTCAACGAATAATTATGTACTGAGCATCTCCTCCCTGACAGGCATCATGCCAGATGCTGGAAATGAATACTGTTCTTATCCAAAAGAAGCTTCAGTCTTTAGGAGTCTTAGAAACTCATCTCATCTTCTATACGCAGGCGATCACTGACGCTGTATCAGAGCACTGGCACTGCTGGTTCGGGTCAGGGCTCTCTCCTTGCTATTGCTCTCTGACCTCCAGGTTGTTCTTCCATTACTTCCATTTTCCCTGTTTGCTTGAGTAGCCTTTCCACTTATCTCTCCAGCTTCAATCCTTAACTAAGGTTCTGCTTGCTCAAGAAGTCCCCTGACTTATCCAGTTGCACAGAGGCCCGTCCTCTTACCACTGATGCCTATGGTGGTCCAGAAGCTGGGGGCCCAGGGTGGGGCTCTTCCAGGTGTCCCCACCATGCCCTGTGTGGTACTAAGTCTAAGTGAATGCTCTATTCTGAAAGGGTCCCTTTGGCCTCTCCCTACAGTGGGTCAAGGAGGGTCAGCTCAGGGACTCTGAGAGCCCCTGTGGGATCCCTTCTCCAAACGAGCACTTGCTGTGGCAGGGAGAGAGGAGGAAGGGGCTGAACATGTATGATGGGTGTTTTCAGCGATCAATCTCAAGGTGCTCAAATACAAGTGGTTACTTGAGTTTGAAAGTTCTGTCCTCAAAAGGCTATTTTTAGCCTCCCCAGTATTTTGCCTGAAATGATAATAAGGTGCCTCTAGGCAGTATCATAAAAGCCACAGCAGTAATTTCAAAGGGAAAGACTAGCATTTTTTGTGATTAGCAGGTTCTTTGCACTGAGTTCACAGAACAGCCCCAGAAGAGAAGGAAGGAGGCACGGTTAACAACTTACCGGCAAACAGCATCCTCCCGGTGAGCATCTCAGCCAGGATGCAGCCAGCAGCCCACATGTCTATGGCTTTGGTGTAGTTGTTAGGGGAGAGGAGCAGACGTGGTGAGCGGTACCACTTCGTCACCAGCCCTTCTGACAGATAACCCTAGAAGACAAAATGTCCTGGTTCCAATGATGGGCCATTTGCAGATACTGCCCCTCCCGACCCCCACATGCCCTTTCTTGTTTCGTACCACCTGGAGACAGGACCCCTTTCAGGATCCTTTCACTTTTGATCCTTTCCTCTGGCTCTTGAAGGAGCATTAGGGAACAGAAGTCTAGTTAGAGGGGCTCAGGCTGGTTGGTGGGGCTCTGAGTCTTCGGTGGGGGAACCTCATGAAGCCCTGGCATTCTCCTCCATAGAAAGGGATGCAGGATACTAATGCCTCAGGAGGAGTGATTTCCCACCCCAACTCGCTGTAACTATGCCAAACAAATTTACCCTCGTCTAGTAAGACAGATAAATAGGAGCCATACTCAAGTTCATTACCACTATCAACAGAGTAATGATGAGACTAGAATTTCATTTAGCCAGTGGCTGAATCTCAGAAATAGTCAAACGTTTGGAGTCAAGCCAGTTGCTTTGGTGCTTATGTTTAGAAGTAATGTGACTGTAATGCCAGATGCTAAGCCCCTGCTGACAATGAATAAGGCCAGCTTCATAATGGGTACAGGTGAAGGGCATATGGACACAGCCCTAAATGGCAGAGCAGACACAGCTTTGGTTGGCCCAGAGGATTCTGGGATTTCTACAAAGTGTCTTTTTTGGGGATGGATATTCTAGCTGATTTTAGCCATTGTTCAAATGGTTTGTGATCTGGGATAGAATCACTTCCTATGAGGTTCAATGATGACATAGGTGTTAAGCATGGATAGGGAAATACAGCCAGGCAATTTGGAACTTGTTCTCTATGTAATTTAGAAAGCTGGCCCAACAACGAAACCTGGGACACATCCATTTGGATTACCTGAAACAGTCTCTCCAAAGTGAGAAAACAGACCCATACGGGGGTCAAGGTGAGACCACTGAGATGAAGGGGATCCGATGTGAGATTCCAGGGATGGGCGAGTTATTTCCCATATTCTGATGTAATTTCTTGTTTAGTGTTCAAATTTTCCCTTTTATTCATGTAAAAAACATCACAGACTCAAGTTAAAATAAATGCAAAGGTAAGAAATCCAAATACCCAGGAGCTTTTGATCAATTAATCTGAAATCTCTTCATTGGTTGAGCAAAGATTTATCAAGTGTTTAGAACCTTTCGAGAGCCCCGCAATTACAACAGTTTTCTCTCCTCCATGTCACATATTTCTTTAGAGGAGGTTCTCAAACTGCTGGAGGGAAGCAGGAAAAGGAAAATACTCAGCCAGAAATGACTACAGCATACCCATTCCCTGGCCTCAATGCTCCAGCCCAACCAGAACTCCTTCCAGATGTGGAAATGTGCCCCTCTTTCTCTCTCCTTTGGGCCGCTGCAGGTGTACATTCCCTGGATGGATGTCCTCATGCCCACTGCCCTCCCTGTCAACACACTCAAATGGGCTTCCTCTCAGAAGCTTCCCGATTCTCTGCGATGAGGATGGATGCCTCTCCAGGGAGCTCCATGGTCCCCATTTGGCTACTGTTTCTTCACTTCTCTGCCATCCTCCACTCCTGGGGGGACCTCATGGGCAGCAGCTGTATCTTGATTCACAGCCATTTCTGCAATGCCTCGTCCCCAAGTCTGCATCCTAGGAAGTGTTCAATAAACACTGTTGAATGAATGAATGGGGAATGTCTGAACCCCCTTCAAAATGAAGCACTTCCTGCAGGGACCACTGATCCTCAGACCTGACTTGACTAAGAGAGTTCCACTTTCAAGGGTGGGTGTGGAGTTGACAGAAGTTGCCAGCTAGTTATGCCTTTGCCTTGTTCCAAAAAGGACTGGCAAGTGTAAGTAATTATTTTTAGATCAGGGGTCTTGAGGTATAATTTACAGGTAGTAAAATGCACTCTTTTTAGTTCTAAGAGTTTTGACAAAAGCATAGAATCATGTAGCTACCATCACAAGGTATATAACAATTTCATCATCTCAGACAATTCTCTGGTGTCCCCTCTAGTCACCCTCTGCCCTCAGCCTCCTGGCAGCCACTGTTTCCTGCCTCTCTAGGTTTGCTTTGTACAGAACATCATATAAATGGAATCACAGTGTGCAGCCTTCTGAGTCTAAATTCTTTCACTTAGCTTAATGCACCAGACTCATCCATGCTGTTTTACATTTAGTAGTTTGTGAGGGGGTTAAGTATGATTCTAAACATTACAGAGACAAGCCAAACTGTCTATAAAAGTTCACTTCTGGGTGGATGGGTTATAAAGAAAGAATGGCATGAATTTATTTGCCAGTCAGAGGCTGAAACTGTCAGAGGAAGACTAAAGCAGCCATCACTGAGAGGGGAGGTGACACAAGGTGGGTTTTCTGCTATGTTAGTGAGCGGTCTTTAGGAAAGGAACTCCTATAGTTAACGCCTGCTCTTCTGCAGCGTCTAGGGCTGAAGTGGGGACCGAGGGGGGCTTCCTTCTGAAACACCTGCCCTGAAAGTTAAAGAAAGAAGTTCAAGTGGGCAAGGCTGCTGCTGGGCCAGAATTATCGGCCAGGTCACGCTAGCAGCTGAGACAGCACCCCGGGCTCTTCCTAACCTCTGAGTGAAAACCAAGCACCTGCTGGATTTTTGTTAACCACTAGCTGTTTCCCTATGGACACCTGTCCCTCAAGCCCTTTAGAAAATGTAAAGGGGATTTACTGGTTTGTTTCAGAAGCCACTGGGAAGGACAAAATGTGGGAAGTTGCAGTGTCTTCAGCCAGGCTCTGGAGCAAGAGGAGCCCTGGGAAGGGGGGTGGTGACAAATGGGGGAATCCATTCCTGGGTCAATGGGGAAGCCATGCAGGTCCCATCCTTGGCTGAGATGAGCCCTGGGTATCTGAGCAGGAGAGGCTCTGGGGCCCCCAGCATGACACTGGTGATCTGAATTCAAGAGAGGAGTTTCAGTTGAGTGGATGGAGTGAAAAGTCAAAATTTTCTAGAATAAAAAACTGTAACTTTAAAGAGTACTAAGAAATGGAAACTCAATTTTATCAGGAGGACTCATAAATCAGTAAGTATATTTGCTCAGCAAATATCCTTAAGTGGCTTTCCTGCCAAGGCCTGGAGGCTGTGCATAGTTTTAGTTCCATGTGGATGTAGAGGAAACTGCCCTCGAAGCTCTGGTCTCCAAGGGGTTTCCAGGTCTTCAGGCTAACAGAGGAGGAAGTGGGTGGGACAGCAGGCAAACGCTCGGCACACTGCTGCCTGAGCTGCAAGGCCTTGCTTCTCTGAGGACAGGAAGCCTGCTGTCCCACAGTCCACGTGTCGCCTCTCAGCTCATAGAGGCAAGACTGGAGTTGCCCTTTCCCAGCGTCCCTTGGGGTTCCTGTGAGAAGCTGACTCTGGAGTGCTATGGGGAGGCGGTGGGACAACGTTTCCTGTCTAGACCGTGTTGGGAAGCCTTCGGGCCTTCCTTAGCTCTTGCTCCAACCCCCCACTTTACGGTCCTGGAGTCTCCTTCAGCCAACAGGAGGCCTTGACTTTGACAGCTTCATGGTGGTTTGGGAAATCATCTAGTAGCAGCTGTCTTGGTAAGTAGGGGTCCCCAACAGGAGGGAGGGTGTATTAAGCTCTGAGCATTCTCTTTGCAGAGGGAGCAGGGGAGCTGCACTCAGTCCCAGCTGCCTGCCAGGGAATTCAGAACAGCCCTGCTCAGGTTCACCCCGGAATGGTGGCCTCCTCCGCTGCGGTGCAAACCAGCCCTGACTGAGCTGCTTGCTCTCCATGCCTCCACCTGCCCTCGCCTGAGCTCATGCCTGGGGGTCAAAAGGTGGTGGGAGAAGGTCTGACCCACTAAACCTTCTACTTTACCCTTTAATGATAATGTGCCTACTGACCCCTCCCAGGGATAGGTGAATTTAAGTGGGGACAATGTTCTCCCAAGAATAATAGCCTGGTCAGCTGTAATGCTGTGCATGTGGTGGAGGGATAACAGGATGGACAGGGTTGTTTCTCTCCTCACACTGGATGGCTGTTTAGGGCTGCCCCCATTTCCAGGCCAGGATGGAGAAGGGCTCTGAAAGGCCCACCTTCCCAGCCAGCAGTCACTGGCGTGTGTCCTGGGAGCCCAACACACGTCATCCCCTTACAGTGGAAATGCAGATCATCTTTGTGTTCTATAACATGGTAAGAGAGATGAAAGACTCAATATGAAAAGATGGCTGGAAGGACCAGGGAATGACCTTGGTCAATGTGCAGACAGGGCTTGCTCTGTGCTGGGCACTGCATGAGCGTTTTATGTGAATTCATTCTGCAGTCCTGCATCAAGAAGCTCTTTGTGGAGCAACACAACTTGGCCAAAGTCACATGACTGAAAGTGGTTCAGGATGTCCGGTTCCAGAGCCTATACCTTAACCTGCATGTTGCAGGACCTCCTCCGCCATGCATACTAGAGTCAATGGAAACAGCGAGGGAGAGGCATGTCCAGGGTGCAAAGGGGTGATGTTTTGTCCTGAGGTGGGTGAGCAAAGGCTGAGTTGGGCATGATACGTGCAGACATCTTAGATAGCTGTGTTGGGGAACATTCCAGGTGGTGAGGGGGAGCCAGTGTGAACAAAGGTAGGAGTGAGTAAAGACCTGTGCTTGGTGGACAGAGGGCTATCTGGACATGTGGACAAATGGGACATAGGGGAGCAGCTGAGAAGAATGACCTTTGTTCTAAAAGTCAGCAGTTCCAAAGACACACATCTGAGAATCAGGGAAGTGCTTATGAGATTTGCCATTTGCCCAAAGCCACCGACGTGGGCCATCCTATCTTCATCCTGAATGAGCTCCTCTCCAAGTGTGAGGACCCCAGGAAGAACAAAGGGAGCCGTGGAAGGTTGCAGAGTGGGAAGGCAGGACTGTAGATAGGACAGGACTTTCAGTGTAGGCTATGAACAGGCCACCTGCCTCCTGCTTTTCTTGTTTGCCCCAGGCAAATTGGAGAGCCTGGTGGTCCAGCCACTGCTGATAATGACTAGCGGGTGGGGTGTCTGTGGATCAA